TGTGTCTCCCTCTGTCTCTGCCCCTCCCCCGCTCATGCTCTGTCTCTCTCTCTCTCTCTCTCTCTCTCTCTGTGTCAAAAATAAATAAACATTAGAATGTTGTTAATAAAGAAAAAAAGAAATAAAAGAAATAAGACACAGAGAAGCAAATGAAGATCATCGATATTTAAAGATGTGTACCGGGATGAATAGCTTGAGGTAGTATATGATATTATCCATGGTAAGAACGAGACAAGTAAATACCGCTTATAATTGTGTTTTAAGGAGGGCTTTTTTTGTTGTTGTTTGAAATCTTGTAAGACAACCTACTCATTTGTTTTTCTCCGTCGGAAGAAAGAACTTGTAAGGCATTAATTACACAAAATACACGTCTAGCCAAAATGTCTTCACTCTTATTCTCTCATGACTGCCTCTCCTTTATGTCACTGATAATACAATTATCCATGAATGATTTCTGTACCTTAACCTTCCCCTCTCTGCCTGTCATTGGAGTGCTACACAGTAGGAGTGGGAGCTACTGACTTGCAAGAAATTGGAACACGTAAGACAGATCAAACAGCTGGTTATAACGATGTCAAAATTAAAATAAAATGTTCTTCTAGAATATAAGGCTGTAAAATATGGTTTTTGTTCATCTTTCAAATTCTGGCGTTCTCTAAGGGTATTTATCTCAAATGTGTGTTTCAAACAGAAAGGAATTTTTCAATGTGTTCGCAAAAGGATTCCCCCCCATTTCTGTTTTTCTGCATGGAAGCCAACCACGGCTTCCCTAAAAGGACTAGAGTTTCCAGGAATTGCTTCAGAATCTTGGAAGAGATTTTGGAAATCATCTGATTTTCCCAATGCACACATTCTTTCCCCTGTTGCCCCCTGGAAGTGCCTTTCTAGCTACTATCTGGATGCTTCCAGTGGCAAAGAGCTCACTATTTCGCGAAGCAGACCCATTACTAATGGGTTACTCTAATTTCTGGAAAGATATCACTTACACTTATAAACCCAATTATGCCTTTCTGTTTTACCTGCCTGGTAAGAGATGGTGTGGTGCAACATGGGGCAGGGAGACCTAGATTCGGTCTTAGCCTCACTGCCTATAATCCTTCAAAGTACCGTCTATTAAACCTCCTGGGGGGCCTGGAGGGCTCAGTCACTTCAGCATCCAACTCTTGATTTCAGCTCAGGTCATGATCTCAGGATCGTGGGATCAAGCCCTGCACTGGGCTCTGTGCTGGCAGCGTGGAGCCTGCTTGGGATTCTCTCTCCCTCTGTCTCTGCCCCTCCCCCCCCACTCAAAACAAGTATATAAACTTTAAAAAAAAGACCAAAAAAAAGAACTTCCTGTTACTGAACACTGCACGTGCAATCTTAATTTTCATAAAAAGCCTATAACGGTAGGCACTATTTTTGCTGTGTCTTACTATGCAGAAATGATAACATTTATAATAGGGACGATGGTCGTATGATTGAATGCCAAGCACATGCCAGGTGCTCTGGAGACACTTTGTATACATTATAAACATCAGAATTGAAGTAACTTGCCCATTATCTCTCCTCAGCATCTGAAGAAGCTGGGTGTTCAGATTCAGGTCAGGTACTAAAAAGACTCTGGGTTTGACTCTTTAAATCTCATTTCTTTGTGAGATGGGAGTGCTATTATTTTCTTCACCAGGTTTTCTGAGATTCAGAAAGATAGCCTGTGAAGTTATCTGGCATTCTTGTTTGAAGAATACCTCCTGCTATGGGGCGCCTGGGTGGCGCAGTCGGTTGAGCATCCGACTTCAGCCAGGTCACGATCTCGCGGTCCGTGAGTTCGAGCCCCGCGTCAGGCTCTGAGCTGTCAGCACAGAGCCAAACACGGGGCTTGAACCCACAGACTGTGAGATCGTGACCTGGACTGAAGTCATACCCTTAACCAACTGAGCCACCCAGGCACCCCTATTAATTTTTTTAGACTTTTTTTTTTAAATACTCTTCCCTCCCTTTTCTCCTGGTTTATATTCCCCAGGCTAAATATCCCCAATTCTTCGGGTCTTCATTCATTCATTCATTCAGCATATACATATGCTTCTTTGGCCCTGCCAGGATCTACATTATAGACAGGAAACAGACAATTAACAACCAACATGAATACTAAGTAAGTCACCTGCTGTATTAGAAGACATAAGTGCCATGCAAGGGGTGGGCGGCTAAGGCAGGCAGGATAGTGGAAACGAGGAGATTGGGGGCAAGGTCGTGGTTCATTTACTATAGCTGTGCAACCAGTTACCCCAAAAACTTAGTGGCTTAAAGCAACAGTGATCACTTATTATCCCTCGTGGTCTCTGGAGGTCAGAAATTTGGGACAAGACATAGTTGGGATGGGTCATCTCTGCCCACAATGCCTTGGGCCTCAGCTGGAAGACTTGAAGTATGGCCCCTGGAATCATCTAAAGGCTTATTTATTCAGTCGTCTGGTAGTTGACGCCGGCTGTTGACTGGAGACCTCAGCTCTTCTCTGCGTGGCCGTTTCTGTGTGGCTTGTGCTTCCTCACAACATGGAGGCTGGGTTCCCAGGGCAAGAGAGCCGGTAGCAGCCATGTTGTCTGTTACGACCCAAACTTGGGTCATTCCCACCATATTCTGGGTTCAAGACAATGTCAAAGTTCCACTGAAGTTGAAAGAGAAGGAAAACAGACCATGCCTGTCAATGGAGATAGGTCAATGACGTGTCATAGGAAGAGTGTAAGAGATGAGATATATATCGGTGCAGCCATTTTGGAAAGTACAGTCTGCCATGGTGCGCAGGGTAGGTTCACTGATGAGGTAACATTTGAAGAAAGATTTAAAGGAGGTAAGGGAGGAAACCATGTGCCTAGCTCTACCTGGGGCAGGGCATTCCAGGCCAAGGCAGGAGCCTGTGCAAAGGCCCTGTGGCTGGAGCGTATCAGGAGTATCTGGAGGCTTGTATGGCTGGATCAGAGTAACTGAAGACGAGAATAGTAGGAAAGGTGGTCTGAGATATGAAGGAGGATATATGTGAGGGCTTGTAGGCCCCTGTAATTACTTGGCTTTTACTATGAGATAAGAAGCAAAATGGAAGGTTTTGAGCAGTTATGTTTTAGCAGAACCACTCTGACAACTGTGTGGAGAATAGACTGCACAGCAGGGGCTAGGGGTGGGGGGCAACAGAGGAAGGGAGACAAAGTAGGAGACTATTTTAGGAATCCAGGCAAGAGAGCTTAGTGGCTCAGAGGGAGACAGGAGCAGTAAAGGTGATGAGAGGTAGTACATCATGGACCTATTCTGAAGTTACAGCCAATAAGGTTTCCTGATGGATCGGCTGGCTGGTGTGAGAGAAAGAGGAGTCAGAGGTGTCGGGGCCATTGCACGGATGGAATCGCCATTTTCTGAAAGAGGGAAGGCTGAGGGCGTCCAGCTTTTCAGGAAAAGATCATGAATTTGGTCTTCAAGTACGAGACGTCTGTTAGATCTCCAGGTGGGGCACAGGGCGTCGGGGCTCCGCCCTCCTGTTCCTCATGTAACTCATTCCCCTGTATTTCACTCTCGTGAAGATTTTTGGGTTTACAGCTAAGAACATACAAACTTTGAAGTGATGATTCCTGGTGGCTGTATATGCACTGTGGCGATTTTGTAGCTCAAGAGATTTGCCAGAGGATGACAATTACCGACCCAAGATTAAAACTAACTATTCCCGATCAGTAAGATGGGGGACGGGAGGAGGTGCAGGCGATGATGATTCTGTTTCCTTGACCTGCGTCACTGGTGCCCTGTCAGGCAGCTGACAGTGGATGGATTAGGTTTTGGTCTGTCGAACAAGGTCATGGTAGTCTGGTTGTTTTAAACAGCAGCTCAAACGTTTAATACCATTGGATGAGGCAACTGGAATTCGTCCAACACAAGTACGGTGTGAAAACACCAAGAATTAATCCAGAAGCGAATATGTTAGAGTCTCTGAAATGCCTCTGCCTTGTGGCCACTCGCCTCGTTTCACTGTAAGAGGAAGTGTTGCAGAGCATTTGAATGGTCGGGGATGTGACATGAACAGTAGATGTTATTAACAATGTTGGCAACCCCCCCACTCCCCCCCCCACCGTTCCCCATCTGCAGGCTCTGTGCCAAGTTTGCTGGCTCTGACCCTCACCCCTGGTGCTTGCCCAGTGAATTGCATTTTGTATCGAAAGACCACCCCGCAGAAAGCCTGGTTTCCACCCAAGCAGCCCCTGCACTCAGCAGCACCATCTACCCTGGCTGGACTTCACTCTGATTTGGTGTTCTGTTTCTGAAACCAGGTTGATTTATGTTTCCCCATCGCACTGGGCCGTTTTCTTCCACCACCAGGCACAGAGCATGCCTTCCCTGGTCACCTTGTAGATCGTCATCAGGCTGGCTTGGAATTGTTAGAATCTCTAAATAGCTCATAAGGTCTCTCACACTTGAGTTTGTGCCAGAGAAGCTATGGGACGATTAACCTAACGGGTGCTGTTTTATCCCCAGAGATGACCAGCTTTGTCCGTGCTGAAGCTGAGTGTACATAACAAACTCCCCTTTGTAAATCGCGATTGCAAGAGCCGTGCACTTTTATGGCATTTTTCTTCTGTGTGAGCGATTGGGTAGCTCATGAGGGTCGTGGCAGTGTTGCGGCTACTGGCAAGCACCCAGAGGATGAACAGGGAACTGTCAAGATTCAGGAAGAACGAGGGGCTCTTTAAGAGAAAGAAAACACGAGGCACCTGGGTGGCTCAGTCGGTTGAGCATCCGACTCTGGATTTCAGCTCAAGTCATGATCCCAGGGTCGTTGGAACGAGCCCCGCATTGGGCTCCCCGCTGAGTGCGGAGCCTGCTCAAGATTCTCTGTCTCTCTCTGTCTCTCTCTCTCTCAAATAAAATTTAAAAAGAGAGAGAGAGAGAGAGAGAGAGAGAGCAAGGAAATAAAGTAACCCTAGCATATCTGATTGGACCATACTTTTCTCCTTACTGGCCCTTTTCTGCATTTTTCCTTCCAGGGCCGCCCAGAAGTTAAATCTGTCTTCCAAAAAGAAGAAACACCGGCCTTCCACGTCTTCTGTGGCCGAGCCCCCGCTCTTTGCCACCAGCTTCAGTGGCATCCTGCAGACCTGCCCTCCCCCGGCCCCGCCCTGTCTGCTGCGGGCCGTCAACAAGGTGAAGGACACGCCAGGCCTGGGCAAGGTAGGTGCTGGGCGGTGGGGCGGGTTGCGCATCGAGGCGAAAGCAGAGGACGAGGAGCCCGGTTGGTTTGTTAACACAAGGGGGTGACCAGGGAGCACAGGGGTCAAAATGAGATTCGCTTGGAAGTACCGTCAGCTCTTCTTCAGTCCCGTGTATGACGTGGCCGGTGGAGACCATGAGAGTGTTCGAGGTCTGATTGGGTTTGGGCAGGACACAGGCAGCTGGGCAGTGTCGACAGATCTGTAGCCGTTTGGAGTAAACAAAGACACAAAGGGCAGCAGGCGGAGGCTGCTTCGGAAACTTCGTTTTCAGACACCACCCCCAGACTCTCGGTGCCGACGTGGGTGCCTGGGTGAACTCCTCACACTCTCCTCTTCAGATGGAGAATAAGCGAGACTCAGGAAAACACTTAGCTGAGGAAAGGTGGCTGCTGTGTCTCTTTCGTCTTCGTCAGAAGTGGGACGGGGCACACAACCCCGCCAGTGCCTTGCGCGCTCAACGCGATCTGCCACCGCCTTCTTTCTGGAACGCTGCAGGTCTGGCTGAAGGCTTGGCTGCTGTACTGTGAGGACCGAGCTTGCGCGGCCGCTGATCCCCTTTTTCCCTGGACCCCCAGTCACGGCCGTTCCAGGTGCCTGGTCTTCCCGTAACTCACCGGCCTTCTGGAGCTCACCGTGGGGCCCTCTGCCCCTTCTTTCTTGGCCACGCCTTCCTCTCCTCACTGCTTCCCTGCCTCCTCCCCTCCTCCGTATTCTCCCAACCCCCCCAACTTCACCACCCACCTCGGGAAGGCATGAACTTGCCGTGTTCCTCTTCCCGATGGTGTATAAACTGGAAGATTGTTTTGAACGGAGCAATGCTTACTCCAGCGGAATGTATGCGGTTCTGGAATTTTCCCGACGGTTCCCCCAGGCCCAGAAGTAGAGTAGGGAACAAGGGCTGTAGGGCTGCCCTCGCCTCACCAGCCGGGAAGGAGACGGAGAAAACCCTGCGGGTTGGGATCTCTCTCTGGGGAAGGACTCGTAGAGGGGACAGCTGCTGAGGGGGGACAGTGACACCCTCACGGAGGTCATCACAGATGGTTGACATGCTGCCTTCTGAGGAGGGCGGGTAATGCAGGGCTTTAAAATCGTGTCTTTTTAATCGTGGAAAAGCTAACACGTCACGTAAAATTGACCACCCGACCCATTTTTTAAGCGGACGCGGGCTTCTGTTTTGCTAAGAGGAGTTTGGAACTTGAACGCTGGAGCCGAACTGCCCCTGGACGAAGTCGAGGTAGAAGTACAGCAGAATTGAAAATAGAATAAATAGTAAGTGTTGTATATAAATCAGTATGGGCGAAGTTGAGAAGCTTGATTGAATTGCCAGAAGCCGCTTAATTATTTAAACCTGAGGTGGGGGTGGGGCGCAAGCCCCGCTCAACCCTGACCTCTCGTGCCTCAACCACACGAGGACTCCCTCAGGAGACCCGGGAGCGTTTCCCAGGCCTGTGGGTTTAATGAACAAGATAACTGAGGCCCCCCCAGGGGGTAAGAGATTTTCGGGTTCCTCCTGACTCAAGCCTAGAAGTCAACACCTACAGCCATTTTGTTTTCTGCGGTCTCACTGGGCTGCCAACTAGGTATGCATGATCTTTAACACTTTGGGGTGGGGACAAGAATGCGTTGGGGTCACGGGGGCAGCCAAATAACCGTGGGATCCAGTTGCCTTGATCCAGGGGAGAAGGACACGCTTCCCTTTGCGGAGTCACGGCTGGGAGAGGAAGGGTAGCAGGCGCGGCCAAGGGCAGACACACAGGGAGACCAGAGGCGCTCCGTGGCGGGGGCCATGCCAGCAGCAACCCGGACCCTCCTCCCAGAGTCAGTGTGGCCGCTGGGCACCGCTTGAGGCCAAAAGCTCCTCTGGAGGCCGCGGGGGCGGAAGGGTTTGCAGTAACTTCAGTGTGTCTGGAGCTGAAGTACAGCAGACACACAACGCAGGAAACGTCTGGGCGTCGTCGGCCCCGGGGGTGCGCGTTGGCAGACTGCAGATGCTTGTTGAGCACCTATTACGTGTCGGGCACGGTGCTGGACACTAGGCTTGCAGTCAGGGGCAGACAAGGCAGAGGCCGCTCCTTCCAGCACTTTCAACCTGGTGCATTTATTCCAGTCAGTCTTAGAAGTCTCACTAATTTCAGGCGCTTGGGTGGCTCGGTCGGTTAGGCGTCCGACTCTGGATCTCGGTTCTGGTCATGGTCTCGTGGTTCCTGAGATCGAGCCCCGCATCGAGCTCTGTGCTGACAGCGCAGAGCCTGCTTAGGATTCCCTCTCTCTCTCTCTCTCTCTCTCTCTCTCTCTCAAAATAAACTTAAAAAAAAAAAAAGGAAAAAAATCTCACCAATTTGGACCAGATCGAAGGACAATCTGCTTTAAGGAAAAGTTGGCATCGCAGCCTTAAAATAATTCTAACTTGCAAGTAATATCAACAAAACGATACTAAGCGGTCTTGTAGACACATCCTTAATGAACAGATAGAGGTGATTAGTGGATGAGAGAAGCTTAGTGCCTGTTTATATTTCATTGATTTGGCTTATATGTAAATGATACCTCTAATCTCTTCGAAAATGGCTCCTTCCCCTAAGTCAGTGCGTGCTCCTCAGGAAATTTGTTTGCACAATTAATTAACGTCCATGTTTCAGGTTCATTCGTTTGTTGTCACAGCTTCATGCCAGAGCTCTGTCTTGGATTACAAGCGTCTAGAGCAAATTACGTTACCTGTTGAACTCACCGAGCGTGCGGCTTTGCAGCCATGCCTCCTGTGCGTATCGCTTAAAAAAAATTTTTTTTGGGGGCGCCTGGGTGGCGCAGTCGGTTAAGCCTCCAACTTCAGCCAGGTCACGATCTCGCGGTCCGTGAGTTCGAGCCCCGCGTCAGGCCAGAGGCTGATGGCTCGGAGCCTGGAGCCTGTTTCCGATGCTGTGTCTCCCTCTCTCTCTGCCCCTCCCCCGTTCATGCTCTGTTTCTCTCTGTCCCAAAAATAAAAAAAAAAATAAAAAAAAAAAAAACGTTGAAAAAAAAAGAAGAAAAAAAATTTTTTTTGATGTTTATTTCTGAGAGAGAGCGAGTGAGCACGAGTGGGGGAGGGGCAGAGAGAGAGGGAGACACAGAATCCGAAGCAGGCTCCAGGCTCTGAGCTGTCAGCACAGAGCCCGACGTGGGGCTTGAATTCACGGACTGTGAGATCACGACCTGAGCCGAAGTCGGACGCTCAACCGACTGAGCCCCTCCAGGCACCCCCTGTGCGTAACACTTGAAGGCGAGAGCAGTAACGGTACTGGCAATGGTCTCGGTGGTGAGGCCAGCAATCCACCAGTACCTGGCTAATTCTCCTCTTCCCAGGAGAGCACCTGGAGGGAAATCCAGGAAGCATGAGGGGAAAGGACCCTCCTTTCCCCTTCAGGACCCCCAGGAGTGCCTCCAAAGCTGGAATGTTGAGCGCTCAGCCTGTGTTCCCCCATCGTGTTTTGGGGACGTAAGACCGCTCGTATAGGTGGGTGCCCGCAGCAAGAGAACCCACACTGCGAACGATGGAGTGATCGCCCAAAATTGGATGGAGAAACTTGGAGGGGAATCGTGGCAAATGAAGCGGGGACAGGTGGGGAGGACGTGCCATAGTTGCTTTACTCAGCAAGTGTCTATAGAGGTACCGTGTCCCAAGTACCGCCGTGGGTGCCCCAGGAGGGCACACTACAGGGGAGCAGGGTGGCCATTCTGGGCGCCTCCTTGCAAAGGAAGTGGGGGGTGTCCTGATCTCCGGGAACTCAAGGCTCCCGTGAAGATGTTTGACTGGCAGCAGCCTCAGCCACTACTCCTGCTGTTTCCTGCCCCTGGGGATCCCTGCTAAGACTAGGCATCCTGGGGGGTGGCCCCCCGTCACCATCTGTCCGCAACCGTCTGTGCGTCTCTAGAGTGCTTCCTGAGATTTCTCTTCCTGGGGCAGTGCGGCCCAAAGGCAGGCGACTTGGCAGAGTCCTAGGAGTTGGGACTTAGAAATAGACTTGCTTGTCTGGCTGCATTATTTCTCTTCTGCTGTAAATGCTGGGCCATAACCCTTTGTTCTTCTCAGCCCTTGGTTTTAAGGTGTGTGTATTTCATTCAGCACTGTTTTGCAAACCCAGTAACTGTTTTGACCTCTGTTAAAAGGTATGTTCTGTAAATAATCTCTCTCTGTCTCTCTGTCTCCTGCTCGCTCACACACACACACACACACACACACACACACACACACACACACACACACACAGACACGCTGCTTGGCCAGTGTCACCACCAGGTTCTATATTGTCTAGATTTAGCAGAATTCTCAACTGTCTCTTGTTTGATGTGTAAACTCCTAGCATAGAAAAAATAAAAGAACCACGTGAGCTCTTTCGTGCAGGCTCTTTTTCCTTTACAGATTTATAAACCTTCCCACGGTAGAAGTCATTTGGTTGCAGGCACACCTCAGACATACTGCGGGTTTGGTTCCAGCCCATTGCGGTAAAGCGGAGATCACAATCAAGTTGGCCAAATGTATGTTTTGGGTTTCCCAGTACATATAAAAGTTACACTTACATGATACCATAGTCTATTAGGTGTGCAGTAACATTGGGTCTAAATCAACAATGTACATACACACATACCTTAATTAAAAAATACTTATTGCTGAACACTGCTAACCATCTGAGCTTCCAGTGAGTCGTGATTTGCCTGCTGCTGGAGGGTCCTGCCTCCCTGTTGGCGGCTGCTGACTGGTCAGGGTGGTGGGGCTGAAGGTTGGGGTTGGGGCAGTTTCTGAAAATAAGACAAGTTGGCCTCATCGATCGACTCTTGCTTTCATGAGCGAATTCTCTGGAACACGCGACGCAGCCTGATCGCATCTGACCCCTGGCGGAACTTCTTTCGGGACTGGAGTCCTGCCTCAGACCCTGCCGCTGCCTTATCGGCTCAGCTGATGTCCTGT